CTTTTCCGGCGGGTGCCTTACCTCCCTTGGGCTGGGCCAGCTGGTGGTCGGCCTGCTCCGTCTCTGCCGCTTGCCAGCTACGCCTCGGCCGGCGCAGGGGGCGGAACCACGCATGCACGGCGCTCCCGGGCAGGGAAAGTCCTCGACTTACGACCGGTTGGGTAGTCCTCGACTTACGACCGGTTTAGTCCTCGACTTATGACCGGTTTAGTCCTCGACTTACGACCGGTTGGGGTCGCGGCATTAAAAAGATTGAGAACCACTGCTTTATTTAGTATGTGAAGCCAAAATCTGGTTAGTCACAGGTTACTGAGCAATTACAGTCACTTGGGGGGGGTATCTCAATGTTAATAGACCTTGGATAAAAGCAGGAGTGCTTTATCAGTGGGGCTGCTGGGTTCACATGTTTTTCCAAGCAGTGCGGAGTTACTAGAAGTGCATTGCATGCATCTGTGTGGAGGTGCTGCCGTTCAGGGCGTTTGCTCTCTGCAAGAGGTCTGCTTGAGCCATTCATTCTGTTAATTGTCTCTTCAGACTCCAACCCATCCAGCTTCCTTGCTCTCCAGTCCGACCCCAATCTCCCAGCCAGGCACAGTAGAGAAGCTCCCGGTTTCATTTCCCCTGGGACGGTGCCTCTTGCAGAGAGAGGTATGTTCTGTAATGCTTTCATTGCCCATTCATTTTTGGATTGCCACCTGCAGGCACAGACCTGCTGATGCTACTGCTGCATTGTTGGGCCAGTTGTGCAGCTTTCCTATGCATAATGCGTTGTTGATAGTTTAAGAAAGGGAGAGTTGTACGTTTTTTGGAATGGGGCCCAGAGCCATGAATTGATGCAGTGCTGCACAGCATAGACTGTTGATGTAGTAGACATCATCTTATGCTGAGCTTCATGACTCTGCCTCTCAAACCATTTGGGGGTGATTTTCTTTCCCAAGGGGGGGAAAAAAAGAGGAAGATCAGAGTTACCAACGGAGAACTGTTGCATTGTATGTAGGGAAGCAGAGGTGGGATTGTTCCTTCAAAACTGGTTTCAAAAGTTGGGTCAGGCAGATTTGTTTGCTCGATTGATTGACACATGTTTCTAAGGACACCCATCTTGGGCAGCGTAATGAATTGAAAACAAAAGTTATGAAATAACAAGCACAAATAGAAAGAAAAGGGGGGCACCCCAGTAGAAGAAAACATCCACTAACTTCCCTGATTCAAATAGGGAGACTGCAGAGAGGCATCTTCCTGGTCTCGTGGCTCTTGCTTGAATGGAAGCAGCAGCTGTGCCTAGGGGGGTCTTTGTACACTTCTGGGTTGCATGCCAGTTGTGCCTATTCCTGGACTGGAAGGCCCTGCTCACTGTTATTCTTGCCCTTGTGATCTCCTGTTTGGACTACCGCAATGCATTCTACATGAGGCTGTCTTTAAAGAACTTTCAGACGCTTCAACTGGTACAGAACGTGGCAGTGCAAGCAGTCAACGGTGCTTGTAGAGCAGAGGTCTTCCAACTTGGCCCTTTTATGACTTGTGGACTTCAATTCCCAGAATTCCTCAGCCAGCCATGCTGGCTGAGGAATTCTGGGAGTTGAAGTCCACAAGTCATAAAAGGGCCAAGTTGGAAGACCTCTGTTTTGTGAGCTGTATTGACTGCAGTGTGCTTCTGGGTGCAAGTCAAGGTATGCTGGTTGTCACCTTTAAAGCTTAGGACTGAGTTACCTCAGAGACTGTCTCTCCCAGTTATTCCTACCCGTCTGGTCTATTTGGACAGGGCAGGCATGCTTCGGTTCTTTTTCTCCATGTATTCAGAGATTAGGATGGCTCTGACATTGCTGGCCTTTTTCATAAGGTACTAAAGGCCTGGTTCTTGCTGGGGCCCCAAATGTATGAAAGATCCCATCTCTTGGCCGTGTTAGTGGATGACAGTTTGATACTTTCCTCAGGGCTGTGTATTTTAATTTTCGTATTGTTGGTTGAAATCACCCACCCACCAAACAGGAAATGGTTTCTCCTGTTGTTGTTTTTTGTGGTTTTAAATTGTTGTTACGATTTTAATTGTATGTTTCTGAATTGAGAGACGCCGAAGAAATGGTTTGCTGAGATGAGAGGCGATAGATTTTGATAAATATCAAAAAAAATCAAATAAATAAATAAATTTTATTTTTGATTTTGTTTAAAAAAATGAAACTCACTCGTTGAGATGGGTGGCAATTAAAACTGATTAAATAAATAAGTACAAGTAGGTATGCTATATATAGAAGGTGCAGGATTGTGATAGGAGGTAAGTGCCTTAAATTCATAGGACTGGCTAAAGTCAAAATCTTCTAGTTCAGCCCTCAGCATATTTTCTCTTTGGCAGCATCCATTCAATGCATACTTTAGCAAACTTTAATCACCACAGCCTGAATTGAACGCAAAACTTACATGGAGAGAAGGAGATGGAACTCCTGCTTTTCCTGTACATTTTAGCTTCAGTCCATTATGTTGCCATTTAAAAATAATACTGAGCAGAAGGTGATGGAAAAATTCTTTCTCCGCTACTTCTGGGGAACTTTTGTCCATTGTAGGAGACGACATTAGACTGGAAGAGCAGAATAAATCATTTGATCTGGTTGTAAATAAATCTGGGGACACAAATAACAGATGGGGACGTTGTGGTCAAAAGGGCAGAAGTGGAAATCAAAAGCTGGCCTTGTTACATTTTTTGTATGTCTTGGTTGCATTCCAGGTCATCTCTGAGGAGCATTGTCTGGAAATCCCTGGATCTAATCCCCAATCTCTGGAAGCTCTCTCCCCTTTCCTGCGAAAGAAGGCCCAAATCCTGGAAGTGCTTCGTTCCCTGGAAGAGATGGACCCACTGCTTGCCTTTCCTTCCCCTTGGAGGGACCCTGGGCAGCTGAGCTCTCCAGAGGGAGTGGCGGCCGAAGCTTGGCCGTGTCTGCTGCTGGCTCAGGGTGAAGGGGTGCCTGGGCAGCCTCCACTGAAAAGTGAGGGCAGCTCGTCCTCCTCCTCAGATGAGGCCGGGGAACCTGATCCTCCAGAGAAAGGACACCCGGGGCAGGTGTTGCTGAGTGCACTGGCTGAACACAAGCTAGAATTAGGTGAGGTGGAGACGTACCTGCAGCATGTCCTTCGGGAGGCTGGCGACAGTGCCCTGCTCAATGGGGAGCCCAGTGGACCCTGCTTGATGGGAAACCCTGAAGGGCAGGCCAGGAGCTACAAGCACATCCAGGCTGTGAGTTGCCTAGAGGCTTTGGGGCCTCCCTCTCCCTGCAGGGAGCCAGCCTACCTGAGCGTCCTTGCATCCAGCGAAGAGAAAGATAAGTCTCGGCAAGGACTCCCGATCCCCTCCCCCTCCAAGGTGCTCAAATTGCTGAAAATGCCACCGCCCCCTAGCCCTGCTGCCCTGCGCCTCAGCCCGCAGCTGACCCGCAGCTCCAAAATCCCCTGCCGCAGTAACACCTACGAGGTGTACCACTCCCCGACGCCTAGCTGCAAGGGCTCCCCCGACAGCCCTTTCCCCGCGGACTCTGGCATCGGAGGAGGACATCCCTCCCCCAAGGCTGGCCGGCCCCTTATTCCAGAGTCCCCCCCGATCGCTCCCACGTTACCAGACCCTTTTGGGTACCACAAACCCCACGAGTACGAGAACATCTTAGAGCTGACCCTCAGCACCGCCATGAGCTCTCGGTCCCCCTCATCCCGCGATGCAAAACTGGATGCACCTGAGGCACTCCTGCCTTCCTGCCGCTTGGCTCCTCTTCGGGCAGTGCCGCCTGGCGAGGTCTCGCTGGAGCCCTGCCCTGCCGGCAACCGAGAAAAGTCGGGCCCAGAGAACAGGCGCTCGCCGCCTCCGGCCCGCAGGAACCCCGACAACTCCAAGAGAGGCGCCAGCAGCTCTGCCAAGCGGACGCTCGAGGTGGCAGCCAGCATGCCCTTCAAAGAGCGACTGACGGTGCTCGGGAGGTTAAAGGGGGCGGAGGGGAAAGAGGGACTGGGCTTTGAGAAGGGGAGAGCCCCCACCCGGCCAGGTGAGCGTGGGGAAAGCTTTCCCGACGCCCACCCCAGGCTGGGCTCTGGGAGCAGCAGCCTCAAGCACCCTGAGCCTTGCCATGGGAATGAATCAACCCCTCGTTGCTACTCTTCCCATTCTGTTGGTTCCCGCGGCAATGATTCTGAGCACCAGGGCTCTAGGAATCGCTCCCTAGGAACGCCAGCGAACCGAAATCCCTCCAAACCCCTGCCCCCTGGAAAGAATGCCAAGAGTCCCCACGGGAGCCCGACTAAGTTACCTTCCAAGTCCCCAACCAAACCCCCTGCTCCAGAACCCAAGCCGTGCCTGCCCTCAGCCAAGGCATCCAGCAGTTTTGGGCGCAAAAACCCCTCTGGCCCGGACCAGGCCAAGGGCAAAGCTGGGCCTCCCGCCAGTATTGAAGAAAAGGTGATGAAAGGCATTGAAGAGAATGTCTTGCGAAGGCACAAAGGTGGGCCGGCTGCAGGAGAGACCAAGCAGAAGAATTCGAGCGGTCTTGCCAGTTGGTTTGGCCTGCGTAAGAGCAAGCTGCCGGCCCTCAGCCGGAGGCCGGAGACTCCCAAAGCCAAGGAGAGCAAAGCCGTCTCACGCAAGCTGGAGTCCGAAAGCTTGAACATTTCCAAGCTCATGGAGAAGGCAGAGGACCTGCGCAAAGCCCTGGAGGAAGAGAAGGCCTACATCAATGGGCTGGCCTTGGACAAGCCTCGGTCCCACACCTGTGACGCCGGACACAGCCAGCTCACCCTCATGTACCAGGAGGTGACTGCAGAGAACTTCATGCAGCAGCTGCTCAATAGGTAGGTCAGAGCAGAGAGAGCAGATCAGAGGGTATCTGTCTGGAAGGGCTTAAAAGCACATTGGTGAAGGCTGATCTCACCCTAAGAGGGACCCTACTTAAGCTAGGATCAGCCCTTTGTTTCACAAACTCTGGGATCTAGAGTTGCATAAAACTGAGGATTTCTGGTTGGGATCAAGAGTAGAGCCAGTGAGGTGGTAAGAGCGAATGAACAGCTGTACAGATTGAGACTCTTTTTAGAGGGACTTCCCCCTTCCCCTGTTTTTTAATCTTTAAAACTTCACCAAATGCCGCCCATTTGCTTCCAAGCTTTTTTCACATTCCCGAGGAGCTAAAATGTCCCCCCCCCTCTCCTTTTGTTTTTAAATAGTTTTATCACCCTCAAGGTTGCTAATGGGGTCCCAGATTCTGAATATCTGGGACAAGTTATGGTGTGCCCAGAGTTAAAATCCAGGAGCCTGAAAACGATTCTGATTTTTGGCTCTGAGGGATGAGAACTGGACTTGAGGAGTTCCATCTTAAGCTCTGCAACCCATGTCCTGAAAGTAGGCACGTCCTCTAGATGTTTTTGCCATTTTACTTCTCGCCAATCCAAGCCAGCAAGGACAGTGGGTGGGGCTTGTGGAAGTTGTGGTTGAAGACAGTATGAAGGACATCCGCTCGCCTACTCCTGCGATGGTATTGAGAGAGGGTCCCAAGTCTCTTCCTACGAGATTTGTAGTTCTAACCTGCAGATCTTGCAAAACGGGTAAGGATGGAAAGAAAGAGAAGCTTTGGGGTACTGACCTCCACTGCACTGCAGGGTGGATGGGAAAGAGGCACCATGTGAGACTCATCTGGAGCAGAAGAATGAGCTACAGGGCCTGCAAAGAGGCCTGCGTGATGCCAAAGATCCCCGCCTTATCCGGCCGCCACGCAATGGCATTGTTGGGCACCTCCATGCCTGTCCGGAGGCTCCAGACAAGGTGAGCTCTCTGTGGTGGGAGGGAGCAGCCTGAAACCCCTCATCCATGCCTCAGCTGCTGAAGGACTCACTCTTGTCTCCTCTGTCTCCCCTGTAGCTTCACGAAGCTGCCTTGCGGGAAGAGCTGCCATCTGATGACAGCTTGGCTGAACTGGTAACCTCCCAGCACTTTGCCGGTGAGCTCTAAGGAAAACTGAAGGCTTAGGCTGAGGGGTTGACCAAAGAGCTGTTGTTTTAACTTAGCAGCAAGCATAGAATGGTCTCCCTAGTCATTTGGGAGCCAGTACTGTTGAAATGCGGTAAAAAAAAAAAAAATCAGATTTCTTCCATAAGGAGAATGAGGTCCTGTCAACAATATTCCCATGATTCCACACGAGCTTCCATGAATTGTACTCCAGGTTTACACAGGAAATTACTACCACAGAGAATTGCTTCCTAGAGAAGAAATGCATATCCTCTCTGTAGTGGAGTCTGGTGGCTTTGTTCCAATTATCAGATTATAAAAAGGGGGGTGGATTTTTTTTTACTATGTAACGCAGCCTCTGCCACTTCATACTCTTTGAACTGAATTAACAATTCCCATAATTTTCCATCAGTGTGATCAATACCAACGATATCAGAGAATTCTGGGAGTCAGAAGTTTAGAACAACCAGATGTTGACAGAACATTAGACATTGAATATAAAAAGAATAATTAGATAATGCTTGCTGACAACTCATTTTTCAGAGAGCATAGGTGTGGAAGAAAATGAGGTATTTATGTTAATATGGTTGGAAGTCCCGTTTCCTGGATTTTCTTCCTAGTAGTGGAAAGAGGACAGAAGAAAGTGCTCCACTGAACTTTGGAAAAGGCAGTGAGGGCAGAATAACATGTTTTAGATCAGCAACATTTGTCCACAATTATAGCACTTGCAACTCACCTACATTGTGGGCTGCTGAAATATATTTTAAAAAAAAAAATCAAAAATTTCCCATATCTCAGGGAGCAGATGGTGGCTCATTCATTATTTGGGATTTTTTATAGCTTAATTTTTAAAATGATGTTTATTTTTTTTATTGTGGAAAATCACATGGCAAATGCCCCGTCTTAAAAGGTGTCTGACCATTGAATTACATCTCCCTGTTTTCTTGTTTTGCTTTTCCTCTAAAGCAGTGGTCCCCAACCCCTGGGTCGCGAGTCCATCCCCTTCCCCACCTCTGCCACCACCACTGCCGGTCCGCAGAGCTGGAAAGGTTGGAGACTGCTGCTCTGAGGGAGCTTGGTTTGAAGATAAATAAGAATTCTAGGAGTTTTTTTCTCCAGGCAGGTGTATTTTATGGAATTAAAAGTATGGCTTTCCTAAACTTAAATTCCAACTCCTATCATCTCTGGCCATTGGCCGTGAAACCTGGAGTTCAACAATATTTGGAGAGTTACAGTACATGCTATCCACTCCCTCATATAATGGCCCCAAATGTTAAGTAGGTCATGAGATGGATTTCTGGAGGAGGTGTGGACTTTGGCTTCATCTCTCCTCATAGATTTTTGCTTATGTCCGGTTATGTCCACAGTATGTAGCTCCTTGACACGGACTCTGGATAGTGGTATTGGCACATTCCCCCCTCCTGACTACTGCAGTGGGATGCCCTGCAAGAGTGTCCCGAAACTGAGACCTCGATTGGATCCTCCACCAGCAGGACCTCTCCCACCTAGAGGTCCCCCACCTGTCACCAGAGTGCCCCGCAAAGCCCGAACGCTGGAAAGGGAGGTGCCAAGCACAGAGGACTTGATGGGGCCTAGCAAGCACCAAAGCATGCCAGCTTTCCATGGCATCTTAACCAGTGCAGAGCCAGCCCTCAACCGCCATGATCGCAGAGGCTACCTGCAAGGTTTGTACCATTTGAAAGAGCTCTAACCAAAGAAGCTACGTGTTGTCCTCTACGTTGGAGGTCTTTTCTGAAACCGTACATATGCGCACACGTATTCCACAAGCAGACGCTTTGCTAATGTTGGGCCTTTATCAGTGGAGATCAACTGATCTCATTATACTGTTCGTCAGTACTTAAAGGGACCTTTTGGCTTAAGCTCTTAACCTGGGCTAGTTTTAAGATCAGGGTTATAAGTTGGTCAGAGGGGTACAGATTACAATTCTGACTTAGAAGAATCCATAGTTTTTCTTCTGTGAGACAATTTTCCATGCATGGAACCTAGAAAGCCAAATAGTCATATGCAATGAAAAGAATCGGGCAATTGTTGATTTGTGTATTTTAAGACAGGGTCCCCAACCCTCGGTCCGTGGACTGGCACCGGTCCCCAGCATGATGGAAACCGGGCCACGCAAACAAGTGAAGCCCCATCCACAGGATGCAGGCAGCACGCGAAACCACGCACCCCTCCGGCCTGCGGAAAAACCTTCCCACAGAACCAGTCCCTGGTGCGCAAAAGGTTGGGGGCCACTGTTTTAAGATACTGAAGTGGTACGAAAAACCAGAAGGAAGACTCTTAAGTTGTTCTGTCCCGGATAGGAAAATCAGAATGTTCTCCCTACTTTCTGAATATTTGCTGCAGGTTATTTCAGCAGAAATGTTTGGAATCCTGTTCTGATGCGGATCAAATGATAAAATATTAAACCTAATGCTTTAAAAATGTAGTTCTTTCAGCATTTAAAAGGAAGATGCAAAACGTTCACCCCTGACCCAGACTCTCATTGTTTCTGTTGTGTTGTCCCAAAGTAGATGTGAATGACTTTGCTGGTCTTTCTTACACAGATCTCTGCAGCGAAGCCAGCAATCCCCGGCGTATCCAACATGGCAAGAATTGGACTTTCCCTAATGCCAAAGCATCAGCGGGCATGGATCCCTTTCTCTGCTCTCCTGACAGGCTGGAAGAGCTCCATGGTTCTGCAATGGTAGGGGTCAGGGGATGAGTTTGAGGGAAGAAGGAAGGCAGCAGGCAGACAGATGCCACACTGCCAAAGGCCCAGAGAGATTTCAGACAGCCTTTGTAAGAGTCAACTGTAGTAGCTTTTGATGTTATCCACGAGGGTGTATGGAGATGGTAACCAGAACTGACAGACTTGTTGTTATATTAAGTATCTCACAGAAAGCTTTGTTTTCCTGAGTGGTTCTAGTCGTGCTAAGACATCTTTGCAAAATCATGCAGTGGGTGATGCTGTGGGAAACATTTACCAACAGCATCTCCTTCCTCTTTGTCCCAAAGCTCTGGCTCCACTTTCAGCTTTTAGTGCAGAAGAAGGAGCAGGTTCACAACAAGATGAGGTTCTTTAACATGCAAACAGGATATAAAATCCATAAATGAATGTTAAGTATGTTACCAACCATGGGTTATATATAAAAATGTGGGATAACAATCTAATCGTAATATAATATGTAAACAATTCGGCTGTTTTGGCTGCTGGGTTTCTGGGTTTTCCAGGAACTGAAGAGAGGAGGGGGTTTTTTCCTCAATTAACTATGGTAATTTGAATCAGATTTTCCATCTCAAAAAAAATGCAATCATAAAGTGCCATGTCATGTAACCTTGCTGCTAGTTCCTGGTTACCATTGTTAAGTGAATCACCGCGGGTTGTTAAACAAGGACCTCACGTGATCACTTTTGACTTCCTGCTAGCCTTGCCATTGACTTTGCTTGTGAGAAGCCAATAGAGAAGGTCGCAAATTGTGAGCATGGGACTTTGGGACACTGCAATAGTTGGAAACCTGGACCAGTTGCTGAGCACCTAGATCACCATCATGTGACGGTGAGGACACTGAGCAGGCCAGTGTCATAAGTACCACTGGTTCACCACTTGCTCAAGTTAAAATGATTGCTGAAAGAGTGATTTGTTAAATGAGGATTACCTGGAAATGAAGAGTTAATTTTCCCCCTTGGGTTGAAAGTACAAAATGCAGTTGTGGACCTCATCCCTGCTATCTAGCCACACCTCACGTGGCTCTCAGTAAGTGAAAAACAGAAATAAGGCAAAACCAGGCAGGATGATCAGCCTTCCAGCTTTCTTGTATGGAGCAGTTCTACCTTCCTTCTTTCTGCTTCTGCAGGGCTCAACTTGTAATGTGGTCGAGAGAAGACGGGCTTCCTCAGAAGGACCTCAGGCCTCCCCAGCCTTCAGCACCAGCAGCAGCCGAACCCCCAGTGCTTCTGATGTGGGTGAAGAGGGCAGCACAGAAGCCTGTTCCAGGGATATGGGTCCAGAGGGCCAGCCAGGCCTGGAGAACTCGGAGTCCCTCAGTGACTCTCTTTATGACAGCTTATCCTCCTGTGGCAGTCAGGGCTGAGCATCTTGAGGAAGAATGAGGGCATTTGACTTCCTGGGTTGACACTGCCACATGCTCCTGCCTGGTGCTTTGAGGGCCCAGCACTTGCCCGTAGGATCCTGCTTGATTCTTCTAAACCAAATCATGGCCTGCACCAGAACATAACGTGTCTTCCATACCAGCTCCCTGCCCCTTCTTAAGCAGGGAAATGGGACTTCTTCAGCAGGGCACCAGATGACTTGCCTGTTTAAAAAGAGACAGAATGGAAAGAAAAGGTGGGCAGGAGGGCATGGTGGGAAGTGGTGGTGGGCATCTTCGTCCGGTTGAATGGCATCGATCAACTCGGGGGTGTGGCTTTGCACATTAAGTAAGTATCCCTTTGGTTAAAGCAGTGCGAATGGGAGGGAGTCCCAATTTTGTCTTGTTGATCCATTATGCAACCTGGTGGACTCGAGGTGGAAGAAAATGGAACCAAGGATTGCTGTGGGTTCCAGGGTACGCTAAGCAGAGAGCATCTCCCTCGAAGGGTAAGTGATTCCAGTTCACAGATTGCACCAGCAAAACACTCTCTAGCCCTGACCTCCCTTTTGCAGGCTGGAAGGTGTGGTGCTAATTAACGATGCCCTTGTCGGGGGGGGGGGAGCATTTCCCATCCTTGTATCTATCCAAACTTGCCCTCTTTACCTCAATGGCAGTGCAGTGCTTGCCTTAGCAAATTACCGAAGCCCTTCCACCTCTTGACACTTAAAAAAAGCATGTGAGATTTTTGCCAAAACCAGGACTCCCCTCCATTGGGAAAGAGGAGTGAAGTGGGCCTTCCATCCATTTCTTTCAAGCATGTGGCTGCTGGGGGGGGGTGTTTCCAAACTGATGTCTAGGGGCAAGGGTAGGCAACCTTGGCTCTTTTATGACTCGTGGACTTCAACTCCCAGAATTCCTGAGCCAGCACAGCTGGCTCAGGAATTCTGGGAGTTGAAGTCCACGAGTCATAAAAGAGCCAAGGTTGCCTACCCCTGGTCTAGGGGGTGTGGGTGCTTGACAAGAAGACCCCCCTCTTGAACAAGCATCTTAATGTGCGTACGTTCACTTTTATTGTATTTCATCAAATGGCTCCCCTTTCCTTTCTCCCAAATCCAGTTGAAGGAACAAGAACCTCAGAGCTACTGTGTATCTGGGTTAGATAGCTTGGGCCCTCATTCCTTGCCCTTTTCTATGTAACTTTTTTTTTTAATTAAGAAACAATTAAGTTATTAATGCTGATCTGGTTTCTGTGCAGCTCAGCTGCTTTCTCCCCCAACCTTGTTTCTGTGGGAGCTGTGTTGGTTCCCTAGATGGTGCTATTTTGCTGTGTACAGGCCCCCCCTCTCCTGACCTTGAGTCTTTCTTTTCGTTGTCTTTTTTTTTTTTTAACTTCAATATATTTTAAAATATTAAGATGTCGTTTGCTCCTTTTTTATTTATATAAGTTATTGTGAAATGAGGCTGTCTATTGTCTTGAATCGCCTAGAAAATAAAGGGGGTTAAAAAAAACACACACGTGTGGCTGAAATACTTGGGCGTTTGGAATGAATACGCGGAGGTTTCTCATGTTCTAGGATAGACCTGTGCAGCAGTCCAGATCTGAAGAGCAAAATGTGACTTGGCAAGTATGACTGGTGCATACATATAGCACCTCTTGGAGAACACGTGAAGCCAAATGTTATCTTTTCTTTTCCTAGGATCACATGCCAGTTGCGTGGGACAGCTGTGCAAGCCCAGGAAAATGGGTTGCTTTAAAGTGTTCCTAATAGGTTACATGCATTCTCACACGTTCTGAATCGCATGTTATCCCTCGAGTTCAGATCTTTGCAGAGCCCCGGTAGTCTAGGCCAGGGGTAGGCAACCTCGGCTCTTTTATGACTCATGGACTTCAACTCCCAGAATTCCTGAGTCAGCTATGCTGACTCAGGAATTCTGGGAGTTGAAGTCCATGAGTCATAAAAGAGCCGAGGTTGCCTACCCCTGGTCTAGGCGAAGCTAAGGCAGAGCTAAGGCCAATTCTTGATGGCTGGGCTGCAGTCTATTTGCTTGTGCTAGAAATCTGTTCACTCAAGCTTCTAAAGCCAGGAGTAGTCAACCTTGGCTCTTTTATGACTCGTGGACTTCAACTTCCAGAAATCATGAGCCAGCATGGCTGGCTCAGGAATTCTCAGAGTTGAAGTCCACGAGTCATAAAAGAGCCAAGGTTGCCTACTCCTGTTTTAAAGCATATAGAATCCTTCAGCCTGTTTCCAGCAGAAAGGGGAGGCCATGACCTCATTCTGCACTTCAAAATAATACTTCCTTTGATTGCCTACATTGTCTCTGTTCAGAAGTGAAGCTCTGCTGTTGGCAAGTAATCACAACACTGCTCACTTTTTCTTCTGCTTATTGGCCATCGTGGGGTTGGCGCTGCGTAAGCCCGGTGCTCGGTTTGGTAAGACCAGTGCCATTTCTCTCTTCAATGAAGCCAAGAAGGGAAAACTTACCATGTAAAGTGTGAGCTTTTTAAAAATGTGCTTTATAAAATAACAAAAAGAAAAAAGAAAATACAAAGATAATTATAACACATTCTAACACACAAAGTTCTTTAAAAGTGAAAAAAAAATAAAAACATCTATAACAGCAGTTACATTTCTACACATACTTATCTAATGTGAATGTTATTCAAGTGCACATGTATTAATTTCTGATATATCTTTTATGACTTGTTGCATTTTGTAAAAATGAGTCCCATTGGACTTGTCCATACAAAGTCTACCCAAATGTGGCAAATGCAATCAGTATCAGCAGCATTGGAAATATTTTTTGGTCATAGAAAAGGCAAGGGGAACGCATTTGCACCAACCGGTTGTCAGATTCCATGTACTAGTTATGTAATTCAAGAGAATAGTATTCCACTCAAAATTTTAGCTTTTGTCGTCATATTTACAGTGAGCTTAACTTTTCCTTACACTCCTCAGTGCATGCTTTCAATGATAGTTGAATCCAAATCAGAAATGAAACAGCTATGCCTTAAGGCAGGAGTGTCAAACTGCCGGCCCACAGGCCGGTTGCGTCATAGAGGCCACACCCACCCCCAGCTCTGGCAATGCAAAAAAAGTCCCAAGACATGTCACACGATACCCGTGCTATCTTGTACTGAGGTTTCACCATATTACTAGATTAGCTGTGGATCTCCCAGATTTTTGAAAACAAGTTTTTCTTGGCATAATTGGAAATGCTAGGAATTGAATCCAGAATCTTTTCTATGTAGGTTGCACGTTCTACTGCTGAGGTGCAGCATTCTGTGTAGCTCAT